GTCTGAATTACGTGCATGACAACCAGAGTTATGTCAACAGTGTGCAAGCCGGGAAGGGCAGATCTCTTTGTCCTGCTGGGAGACCAGTGCCAGACAACCCATTAAAAAGCTCAAAGAAAGAAATAGTCGGCTCAGGGGTTCATTGTTGCTCTTCAGTCACAGATCCCACTGGCTCTGGGGCAGGCAGGACTTCCCATCTGAGGAATGTCCCTTCAGGGAAACTCTTCCAAGAGCCTGCTGTCGGCTTGCTGACCCAGCTCGTCCAGCGTGGCCTCTGGGGAGGGTCACTGTGTGGCCAACCTCCCTAAAGGCAAGGACGCTCTCACAGCCTTCTCTGGCTGACCCAGCATGACCAGTGACTGCTTGAGAGAGGGAGTTCCGACCCTATGTGGGCATCCACATGCACAGACTCCAGGGGCAGGTCTCTGAAACGGCCCACCTGATAACAGCTGCTGTTCTGTGTTAACGTTTGTCACCTGTGTGGCTAGTGCTGGCGACAGGTTGACTGTACCGTTTGTGATTTGGCCTCTGAGTTCTGTCAGTGCTAGTGCTTCATGAAGACATGTTTTTGACTGAATGAATGAGCTATTTAGCAGGTGTGTAATTATGTGCCCGGCACAGTGCTTGGTCTAAAGATACAAAGAAGAGGAAGATGGTCCCTGCCTTCCAGGATCTCACAATCCAGTGAGGAAGACAGATCAGTAAGTCCAGGAAGAAGGTACACATGTTTAAGTTCCCCGGAAGCCAGCTCTGCCCAAGGTTTTGAGAACAAGGAGTTCGTTTGGGAAGGGATCCCAGGAGATGCTGGGGGGATTGGGATGTGAGCCAGGGAAGGGAGGAAGCCAGCTAAGGGTGTCTTGGTTATCCAGCTGGTTACCACAGCTGGCACACTGGAGCCCAGTCCTGCTGGGGAAACAGCATGGAACACGCTGCCATGTGCAGCTGGTTGAGGGCTGCATCCTGGGGCAATAACTGTGGGGTATGCCCTGCAGACAGCCTCAGGTGAGCAGAGGTGTGCAGAGCCAAAAGCCCAGGGGACGTGGGCGGGGCAGAGACAGTGTCTTCCACGGGTTGGAAATTCCAGGATGGAGGAGGCAACAGGGAGACTGAAGGGATGTTTGAGCTGGATTTTGCGGGTGAACAAGACAGCACGGCCCCCATGGGAAGGGCAACCAAAGACCCCGTGGCCAGAGGGAGGCTGGCATGGCTGAGACAAGGCCGAGAGGGGTGGGAGCTAAGGTCAGAGACAGAGCCTGGAGCCTAGTCTCCTCCTCACCCATTGTGAGAACTCAGCCCTTTCTCTCCACCAGGTGGGAACCCAGGGGACCAGGACAGGACCCCACTGACCAGGATCCCTCCAGGGAACAGACCCAAGGGGGCAGGGTAGAAGCAGGGAGCCCAGCAAGGAGGAGGTCACTGAATTGGGGCCGCCTGTGAAGGAGGCCCTGAGCAGAGGGCAGGTTCTGGACATAATCTGAGGGTGGATTTGACGTGACCTGTTGATGGATCAGCTGTAGAGTGAGATTGAAAGAGGCGTTAAACCAATAAACACACCATAAATAGATATTGACAGGTTGCCATGTGAGCTGTTAAGAAAAGACGAGGGTGCTGTGAGGGAGAAGAGCAGGAAGTCTTTGGGGAGGGTTCTCGGGAGAAATCACAGGTGGGCGGGAACCTGGAAGTGGGGGAGAGGTCAGCCAGGGGAAGGCGTAGGGGGACATTGCAGCTCAGTCTCAGGCAGGATTGCTCTCGGACAGCTTGGAGGGGAGTGATGGACCAAGGAAAGGTGGGAATCAGCAAGACAAAGGCAGCCCTGGAGGTGGACTGGAGGCTGAGGCCTGGGGTTGTGTAGACCAACTTCTCGGGAGTCTTCCGTGCCCTCAGGCCTCCCCACTGGCCCCCAGCAACACAGCTGCTGCAGGGTCCACTGGCTCTCTCCTCCAACCCTATTATTTATTAGCCTTGGGTTGGCAGAGAGACTTGCCCCAAGTCAGGCCCAGACCACTGAGATGTTGATATCATGGAAATTTCTACCCTAGAAGAGATGCTTGTGAAAACCCAGCGTTGGAGACGGCTCCATGCCATTCGGCAGCAAAGCCTGCAGGTGGCAGCGTGCAAATGGCTCTGGAAGCATATTCTGTAGGGGGAACGTGGAAGAAATGTTGCTCAGGTTGGCAGGATAGCTGCATGAAAGACCTCCGGGCTGCTCTTATCTCAGGGCTGGCTCGGGCTGGGGAGAAACGCATTTGCACCCTCTGGGCCAGGCCACTGAGAAGCCAGCCCTGTGGTTGGTGAATGTGGTCAGTGTGGGCTGCCTGGCCTGTCTCCTTCCCAAACAACCCCTGCTCTACTTAACTCTGTCTCCAGCTAAAAAGACATGAGAATGGCGTCTGCCCAGGCAGGGCAGGAAGCCCATGCCTTCCTCTGTCCACCTGCACCTCCTGGGAGCAGGAGGTTGAGGTGAGGAGATTGTTGACATTCCTGCCAACCCCGCGGATTGATTTCAGGGCAGAGTCTAAGATCATATTGTACTTGGGTTCAGAAGTCCTCAAATGCGAAAATGCTTTTTTTGCATTTATATCCCTTTATCCTGAGCGGCGGGGATATCTTGTCCCTATAACAAGACTAAGGTCCTAGCACAAAACTCCCAGAGCCCTTGTTGGGTTACAGCCCCCAGTGAAGGCAGGCGATGCCTGTGTGTATAAAACCCCCGTATCTCCCCTGGAGGCCATCGCCTACATCAGCCCACGTTCGCTCTACACTGGCTGTGGTGTTGAGGTGTCAGAGGTGAAGGAGCAGTGACTGTTGAGGAATGCCCCATGAGTTGGGAGCACCTGGTTGGGACCACAGTGCTGCAGGTGGAAGCTGGACCCAGGTGAAAACGCTCTTCAGCTGTTTCAAGCACCTCAGAGCAATGAGGCTGTTGTATTTGGGTCTTTTCAGCTGTTATTGTGAATTTCCTGCTAAAATTAATCTTTGTGCCTCTTTCTGATAACTTTTTTCTTTTTATAAATCAGAAGAGCAGAATAGAGTGGCATAGTCGGTTTTCTCATCTCAAGCTTGAACTTCCTGATGATTCATTTAAATTTAGACACAAACCAGAAAGTTTCTCAGCTTGGAATCGTTCCTGGGGCATGTGTTCGGAGGATGGAGCTGGTCGGGCAGTTGACAGGGACTCTGTAACCCGAGCGGCTAAGTCCTGGCTCTTTCTCACAAGTCTGTCTTAAAATTCCTTCCATCCTCTGTCAAAGAGGATGCCAGTTTATGTATCCTTACGGTTCAGGTTTTGTCTTTATAGAGCATGTTTCCAGTGGCCCCCAAGTTCCCATGTGTTTCCCACATGCACTGCCAATCGCGTTATGGTACAACCATGTTAAATACTTTCAGCATTGAAGCAAAAAAGTCAGGGCCATCTTTCCCCCATATTTTAATGTCTCTGCTTAAATGGGCATGCTCAATTCATCAGAGCATGCACTCGAGCCATGAGGTTTGACCCCTATACAAATGAGTTATTTTTATCAGAGAAAAGCATTGCCTAACACAATAGCATCTGATGAACACGTTCAGACTTCATCTCTATTCATTCAACCACAATGCTGAGTACACACCCTGTGCTAAGCACTAAGTTAGGAATGGGGATCCCGAGATGGCTGAGGGGGGCTCATCCTGCTAAGGCAAAGCCTCTTCAACAGAGCCTGGCACGAGGTGGCTCACTCAGTAATTGTGGGATGAAGGGATGCTATTGCTCAAAGAGGGAATGTGGATGATTCCTCGAAAGCCAGAAAAAATTGCAAATCCCACGTTTTCGCCCAAGAGCTAGGAATCAGTATTGCCAGCGCTTTGGTCACATAGTCAAGCCCCTGAATGCTGCCTTTGCCTCCTAGGCCATCTTGGTAACCACGATGACTTGAGTGATGTCCTGGCACCTGCTCTGAAGCTCAAAGGTGCACTTAGGTCTGCTGCATTGGAGGGGGCAATGCGCCCTCAACCCTCTCATTATCAGTGAATCCAAAACTAGAGTCTTTGCCCGTGGGCCCAGGGCTGTGGGGATTCAGCCAGCCCCCAAGACCCTGGCCTTTTCAGCAGCTGACACGTCCAGCAACGGACTCCCTCACAGTCAGGCAGATGTTCAGCATGCGGGGCTGTGGGGAGAACTCCAGGCTTCTCCGTGGGCACCTTTGCTGACTACTGAGGTGTCCCCATTGATCCCACTTGCCTTTCCTTTTCTGCTGAGCCCTCTGACTTTTCACCTGTGACGTGAGACTCTAAGTCCCCCATGAGAGGAATGAGGGCCTGGTCTCTCCAGGGCCTTTGTGTGGCATGAGTCTAGTTTATAAAAACTCCTTTCGGTCACTCACATGTCACTGACCAAGTATTCTTCAGGCTGAAAGGGCGCCATGTGAACCAGATTCTCGCGCATGTCATCATTTCTTTTCCTGAGTTCAACTCGTGACTTAAATAAACACTCTGTTCTTCTTACTGTGCCTTCTAAAGTAGCAATAAATCATCCCCACATCTTGCCATTTAAGCAGTTCCTCCAGAGGACACTGTTCTCCCTTTTTGCCTGGGTACACGTTTCCTTTATGCAGATTAATCTTAAATTGGAGAATCTACAAATAAGAAAAGCATCAGTACACAGTTTCTTTCTTTTATTATGTTAACGTTATCGCACCATTTTCCCCAAGAAGTTAACTTCTATGTCCAGGGATTACAATCAGCCCACCCTTGACAGAGTCCCATGACGTGATTTTGGGTTAACTGTATAAAGAGTCGTCTCATCTTGGGATAGGTAAGGGCAATTTTTTGCTTCCTTGCAGATGTTGCCCTTAGGGTGAGTATACCTCTGATGTATGAGTAGATATTTCATCACCCTCAGATTCCTTTTCTCGCCCCATCCCACCTCCCACCCGGCATCAAGCTTAGTTACCTCATGCTGTTTTCTATCACTCTTTTCCCTGGAAAAATGACCCATTGTTCTCTGGTGTATGCTTGTCGTTTAGAAAGCCAAGCTTGGCCCTGCTGGTAACAAAGTAATCAGTCCTTCAGAAGACAGGAGACAGCCTTCCAACAACCTTGACAGAGTGAAACTCACCGACTTCAACTTCCTCATGGTGCTGGGGAAGGGCAGTTTTGGGAAGGTAAGGAAGGGGACGGGAGATGGTGCATGCACGGCCAGGCCTTTGCAGAGACTGTTGGGATCGGTCCTGTTCTCCCCGAAGTTTCCAGAGCAGCCCTTGATTTCCTTGCTCTGTACAGGTTTCTCAGATGTCTCCTACTTCATTTCATTAAAAACAACTGTATCTGAAAAGCTGCAGAGGGGTCACTTTGTGTCACCATTTCAGTGTTGAGAACACAGAGGGTGCTCCAAAATGTCAGTTGAGTGAATAATTTTCACAACTAAAAATGAAATGCTGACTTGTGGTAAGCGCATGTAATAATTAAGAGATACTGAACTGGGTTTCTTCAGCTCTCAGCCTGTTTGTCTACATTTGGCTTCTCTGGCCCCAAATCTCATGATAGACCCAGGAACTGATTACAATCCTGCCGTTCTTTTTTTTCTTGTATTGGTTCCTGACTCGTGAAAAGCTTATAAAGGTCAGTCACATTTTCCTCTAAGGATGCTCCTGAAAAATGTGCTTAATTCAAGACTAATCCCGATAATGTTGAGTATTCCTTTTAGCAGCCGCAATAGCGCCATCATGTGGCAACAGCCTACACAGTGTATAGATCTTGACAGCTTAGAAATTGTGCAGTGCTGGAGGAATTTGCAGGGATGTACACTATTTCAAAATTTGCACATAAAGTACAACTTTATTAACATTGTTATATCACACATTTACAAATTTGCATGAGCTGTGTGAACTGTCACCTGACCTGGTTCCTCCCCACGCCCGGCACCAGACATGTGCCTGGAAGTGTTCAGGTTGCCCTTCGTCTGCTCTCAGGTGATGCTCGCTGACAGGAAGGGAACAGAAGAGCTGTACGCTATCAAAATCCTGAAGAAGGACGTGGTGATTCAAGACGACGACGTGGAGTGCACCATGGTGGAAAAGCGAGTCCTGGCCCTGCTTGACAAGCCCCCGTTCCTGACGCAGTTACACTCCTGCTTCCAGACGGTGGTAAGGATCCTGGGGTGTATAGCTGTGGCCCAGCACACAGCGTGCTCAAGGGTAAGGATCCTGGGGTGTACAGCTGTGGCCCAGCACACAGTGTGCTCAAGGGTAAGGATCCTGGGGTGTACAGCTGTGGCCCAACACACAGCGAACCAAAATGTTTGAGTGTCTGAGTCAACCTTAGTCCTCTGGAGAAGGCTGGAGAAAGGCATAACCTGGGGACCACTCAGCCCCAGATTCCTCTCTGCCAGGCAGAGGTGCCTGGGGGCAACCTCTCACTCTTGTGCCCCTGGGAGATCTGGGACGCCCCTTCCCTGTGGTGTGCCCTACTTAGAGGCTTGGCATTAATTCCGTTTAATTCAAACATTTATATCAAAAGTTTTCTTCATAGCAGGCAATGTGCTAAGACTTTGGGATACAAAAACAATAGAATAACTCACAGTCCTGGCCTTTTAAAACCGCTGGTCTAGCTGCCAGGCCTTGCATTGGAACATTAGGAGATTGGAGTTTGTAAAGGAGTGTATTCTTGTTTAATGCCACGCAGCAGAGGTTGGCAAACTGGCCTGTTTTTGTACGACCCATGAGCTCTAAGAAAAGTTAAAAAAAAAAAAAGCAAAGAATAATATTTTGTGACACGTGAAAATTAAACGAAATTCAAATTTCAGTGGCCATAAATAATTTTCTTGGAACACAGCCGTGCTCATTCAGTTACCTATCATCGATGCTGTTTTCATGCTACAAAGGCAGAGTTGAATAGTTGCAAGACACACACAAAGCCTAAAATATTTACTGCCTCGCCCATTACGGAACAAGTTTGCTGAGCCCTGTCATAGTGTATAACTAAACAGAGGACAAAAAAATTCCAAAGTACTAACCAGCCGGCTGTGGGGCCAGGGCTCTGGCGTGGTGCTTCCAAGTGGCCTGCAAGAAATAGAAACATCTGGATGGCACCATAGTGAGGCATTCCCAGAGACAGGCTTTCTGCTCCTTGGTGGCTGTCCTTTGTAAGATATGACTCAATAATCAGTAGCTATAGTTGTTACTGTTATGATGATGATTATTTTCAACTTCCCATTGACCAGAAATTGACTTTCTGTTTTATGTCTCTCTTTAAAATTTCTTGGGAGGCGCCCCTCAACGCTCTTGGATTTTAGAATCTCAAAATGGCGGTGCAGCCACACACAGTCTGTAGATGGGCAGTGGGGCTGCAGAGTCGGGCGCCGGCCACTGCGTGTCATCGTAGCGCTGGCGGCAGGGTCAGCCCCCTGCTCTCAGCAGCTCCTAAGTAGCGCCAAGGAGGGAAGGGCAACGTGTTAGGAGAGAGAACCAAGTCTGTGAATCCCAGCCCAGGTCCTGTAACCCTGGTTACGCTGATTAAGCTCCAGAAAGCCACAGAGCAGAGAAATAAAGATGAAATTAAAGTTTATAACAGGAAAGCCGAGACTGAAGCTCCCAGAGCCGTTTCCTGCTTATTAGCACCAGCTTCATCATTTTTTTCCTCCCTGTGCAACACTTTAATGTTTAATAACCTCTGTAAATGGTGATGGTGTCTAGAAGAGAGCAGAGGTCAACTTTTCCCTCGGTGTGCTGTGCTGTCAGTTATTTCACTGTTAAACCCCCTCACTCTCCCCATCTGTTCCAGCATAATGTCCTCATAAATATGCAAATTTATTTGATTCCATGGTGTACGCCCTTCGTGGGGCCAACACTTAGCATACCAGTGACAGAGAAAATCAAAAACAATATTTGGGCATGTTATGGATGCAAAAGAACATTTGATTAGCCTCTCCACTTGTCGTCCCCTCCTTCACAGTAAATATCATTGAGCATTCACAATTTATAAGCCTGACCTAACTCACGAGATTGGTTTTCAAAAACATCCAGTTAGGGCCGGCCCCGTGGTTTAGCGGTTAAGTGCTCGCGCTCCGCTACTGGCGGCCTGGGTTCGGATCCCGGGCGCGCACCAACGCACCGCTTCTCCAGCCATGCTGAGGCCGCGTCCCACATACAGCAACTAGAAGGATGTGCAGCTATGACATACAACTATCTACTGGGGCTTT